GAATTTGGAACATTTAAAATAAAAGCAAGATTCAGGAACTAATGAGAGAAAAATAGCTTTGCTAAGGGATTTTGAGGACATTATGATTTTTATCCAAAGGGCAGACTCTCTACCCCAATCCGCAAATTTCAAAGTTCCTTCATTTTAGAACATTAGTCTTTGGATATTAGCACCAACAATTATTAGGTTTGTAGGCTTTGGTTAAATACATAACCTTTCATTTCTTTGGTTTTCTTATTTGCAAGAGAAAGTGAAACTTTCAAAAATGTTAAAGTTGTACTTGGAGAACTGGAAGAGTCCATGTTCATAAAGCCCTCAGAAGCGTCTGGTGAGGAGCAGGTATCTAAGGATGCTGTCTGGTTTCTCCAAAAGCAGACCCAAGAAAAGCATTTGCAAGATGATCCCAGACCTTGTGAAAGGACGGAAATAGAGGAAGTACCAGCTACAGGTGTGAGGAGCAGAACCTAATGTCTCTGGGACTAGAGACAAGTATGCCTCTCAACGTCCCTCACAGGAAGCCAAGGAAGTTGGGCTATTTTTAAAGTACTTCTGGTCAGTCCATGGGCGAAAGGTGCCCACAGAGCTGTTAATGCTCTAACACATTCAGGCTGTTCCAGCTGATTGAACAAGCCACTGAAAAGGTGTGGTCCTCAGAAACATGGTGTAAATAAATATGTCATGGCTTTCATTGTCATCCAAAGACAAGACATGAGAGCAGGAGCTTTGAAGAGAAGGAGTGGAGAAATGAACCCAGGAGGGGGCAATGAGCAGGACTGTGTATGGAGAGTCCAGTCCTCTCATCCCGGATGATGCCCTGAGTCTTCTGGACAAAATCCCAGGAATCTGGGAAATAATCTGTGGCAGAACACAGTTCATGGAATCAACTGTTTAGTAATTTGAAGAATAAGAAATAAATTTCTGCCTTGAAAAAAATGAAGCTTAGTTCTAAATTCCAGCTCATCGAGAGAGATACAGTGCAGTTAGCGCTTGCAAGCTTGTTGAAACAGTGACATCACCGCTGGGTAAGGCAGTCCAAATGGCCTCCACCAATGATGAAGATTAAGCACGGCCTTATAAGGTTATGTGTTTTCAGACAGGCAGAGATGATCAGGGAAGCAGGAATACATTGATGGAGCTCAAAAATGTCCAGGACTCATTCACTGTTAAAGCTGAGAGTTTAGGGGCTGGGAGAGAGGCTTGATACATCAGTATCCTGGAATATGCAAAGTGCCTGACTCCAGAGTCGTTACCGTAGAGTGGCTTCTCCAGAGCCAACCAAGGTTTTCAATCTCCCTATCCCATCCTGACTTCCCACACTGCACTTCACCTCTCACAGCATAACACCTATCAGCTACCCTGCAAGGTAGGCATCTTACCCGGTTTTACAGATGAGAGTGAAAGTTAGGGAACATGTACAAGGTTTCTCAGCTAGCATGGGGTTGGCATCCTGTCTGATTTCAAAGGGAAACAAAATCAGCGTGGTTTGCTATCTCCAGTTGAAACACATAGACAAAGGAATTCTTTGAAATTATTTGGAAACTAAGATAGTCAAATAACATCTTGAAAGTTGATACAAAGCACTTATATATTATAGGCAGTTTGGTCTTCCTCATTGCAACCCAGGTATGAAGACCATCCCCTCTGGCTACCTCTAGCGTAGTAGCTACTGCAAGATTATGGAAACAATTGAAAAGGGACAAGAAAGAATCGATTGAAACACACTTTGGTGACAGTCTCCTTGCCTTGGTCAACAGATGGTGCCCTTTTGTTTCTCTTGGATCTCTAGGAGTGGAAAAATTCCTTGAGATCTAGGTTCAGCCCCATATTTACAAAACCAGGAATATTATTCTATTAGCACTTAACATTCCATCTGTTGCTTTTGGCATAATTTTTAAAAATCAAAAATACTTCTTACCTGAAGCTTTCTTTTACTAGAGCAGATGTGTTGGAGAAGCCTTCCCCCACCCCAGATGAGAATTCCAGGTTTCTCAAGTTTATGCCCTGTTGTCTTCCTCTACTTCAGGGTGAAGTGGTTCTTGATGATAGCCTCTTCAGATATTCCTGCCTATTTGAACCATTAGCATTTGCCTCTTATTCTCATTCTCTATCTTCTTAGGGAACCACTGGCTAGTACATGACTTTATTTCATTTTATTCACACTTGTTTTCCTGTCTCTGAGTCTTGTGAATTTCTGTCTCTTAATATAGGTTTGTTTAAAGGATGGGTAGCAGGAACATCTAATGTCTTAAGCCAAAGATTAATGGTGAAGTCCACAGGGAAAGTCAAGTACTTTGGGGGTTCTTCAAGCTCACTGCTCAGGTAGTTGTCATTGGACAAGGAGTTTTATACATTTGCCAAGATAATCCATAGGCAGACATTAAACCATGCAAGCTGTTAATACCAGAACTCCAAGAAGGTATGGATAAGAATCAACAACAATGAAAGTTTTGTTTGAAAATACCATAATGACATCAATATTGTATATGCTAATCCAAATGGTTTAAGAAAAACTAAAAAATATCCAAGTGTGTGAGAACACTGAGGTGCTCCTACAACACTTCAGGGAATCTTCCAGGTTCCCCTTACAAAAGGGATATCTGGGCAAAGTATGCATTTCTCACAAACATCAATCAAAACAGCATAGCACAACAGCATAAATGAAGAAACAGGTATGAGAATCATGGTACATTTCATTAAATCATTCATTAAAGACATATGCGAGTTGGAAAGATGCTTCATCAAACCTGGAGCCCTGAATTTAATCCCTGGAACCCACACAGTAGAAGGAGAGAACCACATCTAAAGATTGACTTATACATGTGTGTCATGCTTGTACACACACACATACACACATGCACACATATACACATGCATATATGCACACACTAAAATAAATAAATGTAAAAAGACACTTGAAAATGTGAAACAATGCCATTTCTCACTAGTGGGGGACTAATGTAGTCAAGTTTAAATAAAATGCCATATGGAATTAGTCTGTTACTATCACTTGAAAGTTGATTAATATTTTTAAATTATACTTATTGACTTCTAATATCATGAATATTATCAAGTACAGTTTACACCAACCATTTAAAGATCTAAGGGACCCCGGAGCAAAGATGGGTGACAAATCAACTCCAGATTATCACTCTGCTCTTGCTGCAGGAGGAAGCAAAGTGTGTCCCTGGGGTTGGACAGGCAGGCATCAAGAGTAACCAGCTGGCTCTGGGGATTGGGAATCACTTAGGGTTGTCATAAAACCTTGAGCCTGATCTTTTTGTTAAACTTCAATTGAAAATCAAGGTCATCTTTCATATTCTTTCTTTCTCTTCTACAGAGTCCAGCAGGGCCTTGAGCCTGTAGTACACCGTGTAACTGTGGATGTTGCTAGCCACTCATCCTCAGCTGTACAAAGTATATTCAATTAGAACTTGACATGTAGCTGGAGCTGTTTCCGAGGCCAGTCTACCTCTGTGCAAGCCTAGCAGGTGGGACATAGAACCAAAACCTGACCTGTGAAGTCCGGAGGTTTTCCTTGGCCCATGAATTTGCCAAATTCATAGCGCATTTCCCTGTTATCACACCTGTTTTTACAACATAGACTCTTAAATGAAATGGACACTTGTGATTGGTGACATAGAGGCCAAACCACAGCACCTGCACACATGCCGTAGTTCAGTGCACTGTGTAAGCCTAGTCTAAAAGATCATTTCAAAGGCTAACTCAGAAATGGCCTGATGGCTTTGCCAGCTGTGAGAACTCGACAATTCTTATACTCTCCCAGTCTCGGTTTCTCTCTCCGTAAAGTGGAAATGATGATGATGATGATGATGATGATGATGATGATGATGATGATGATACCTGCAAATCCTGTGATAAAAATCAAACAACAACAAAAATATGCCCAAACAAGATCAGCACAAGTGTGTGCTACAGTGAAAGGCCTGAAAACATGCCATTACAGCTACTAGTGAATGCCTAACATTTATTTGTGTCGGAAAGAATAGGCGAGCTGGGGAACGGGCTTCTTGTTCTTATTTCATAGTCAATATTTAATATGCTAAGCACTAGAGAGACCAATTACTGGTCACATTCCCTTCCGTGAATGAGAACAGATAAAACATAAAGCACTTTTCTTGATTCTGTTTTATTCTCCTTCAACTGTTGAGGAAAAGAGAAATAATGGGGAAAAAGAATCATTCATTTACTAAAGAAAACTCCCTGCCATGATGACCTTCTGTTGTGTGCATGAGTGGCTATGCCCTTGAGCTCAGAATGTCCCGTTGATGTTTGGACTGGAGCCTTTATCCTTAGCAGGGAAAGGACAAGGCATTGACCAACAGCAGGTTTGTTTGCTCAAGTTCCTGACGTTGTTGGTGAAGTCTTGTGGCAGAGCTGGCTCAGGCCTGCATCCCAGAAAACCCAGGCCTCAATGCCCACATATTTGCAGCATGACATATAACATAGCTCAGGAGTTTGGCAGACAGACTGAAGAAGCCACCTGATTTGTGTCCCCGGAAAGACTGCATTCATGTGATATTATTAGAGATGAACTCCAAGTGATAGGCACATCGCTGAGGCCGTAGGACCCAACTTCACGGGCTCCTCCACTCAGAAGTCCCTGAATGCTGCTTTGTCACTGGTATTCGCCTGAGAAGTTGCCTTCAGTCACAAGGGGTCTGTGGCTTGCCCAGTAGCTAGGCTTTGGGAGGGCTGATTTAAGGAACCATTATCCTCGTTGGCAGAGCGTTGGGGCTGCTTTCATGTTTTTCTGCTTAAGGGATTAGAAGCAGCAAGCATTCATGGTGAACATGGGTCTGGTATACATTGAGGTAAAGCCAAAGTAAGCAAGAAAGGGGCCATCATTTTATCTCACCAGTGACAATCAAACAGACGCCAACTTGGCACCGAGAGACAAGTCAAACCAATGGTTTGGAACAAAAGGTTAAAGAGAACAAAGTCAACTAAAATAAATGATTTCTGCTCTTCTTGTTGTTTAGAAAGAAGGCAGCAGTGGCATGTGATGTCAAACAGAAGCTAACTGAAAAGCACACTGAGCAGCCAGAAGAGTAAAAGGCCAGAAAGGACATCACAGAGCCCTCCGCATAGGTAACAAGCTGTTTCCAAGAGTACCCAAAATAAACCAGGAGTGGGTTTCTGCATAGAGTTAGGAATTTGGGTTAGATCATGAGAACTCTGTGGCTATGGTAACAGTAGAGAAGGGACTGGGGAATTTATGGAATGAATGCATTCGGAGGGGTCCCTGTGTGTCTGTAGTGGCTCACGGAATCTTTCAATTTTAGGTAGGAAATTGGAAAGTGGTGACTCACACTATGTAATAGTCTCTCAGCCTTAATTCAAAGTTAATTTATGACCTCTAATAGCAATAGGCAACAGCTAGGATTAAACCAAATTAAAAATAACCAAGGCAAACAGTATCAAGCAGAGAAGAGTAATTATGTCCTCAATGAATAAACCAGAGCCAGAAGATTGTATGTGCTTGCACTTTGTATTTTACCATCCTGTATGGATATTCTTGTTTGGAATATTTTTTTGCTCCTGAAACATTTCAGGTTTACCCCCAGATTCTCGTGATTCTGGAAATCACACACCCTCATAATTACATTAGGCTGCCCTCTAGTGGCATGGTGTGACTCTCGTTTCTGATCAGTCATCTCAATTGGCTTTGGTCTATCAGGTTTACCTCAAGGATTCTGACCGTTTTTATATGTGACAAATATAAACTCAAAACTTTCAGAACATGAACAAACAACACACAACTATCGTTCCTTTTCCATTCCTTGCAAAGACTTTAGACAGTAGGGATCTGGAGAATATCAGCGGTAATTCGTTGTACTATTCTCTATCTCTCTCTTTATCTCTCTCTCTCTCTCTCTCTCTCTCTCTCTCTCTCTCTCAAAAAGCTATTAATAGGTGTTCTGTGTTGCTGACATTGATTGTGTATTCGATAGTGGGAAACAACACTCCAGTATGCAAAGAAACGACTCAATTAGGACATCTTCATAGACCCACTCCCTATGGACTTAAACATAAAAAGGTCAATAACCATTGAAAATATCCAGGGAGCAAAAATAACCAAATAGTTGTCCTTGAAAGATTGTCTAAGCAACAGAGATCGATTCTAGTCCAGTACTGTCACTGTCTAGCTTTGTTTGTGGGTGTCATCATGTATCCCACTACCCTAAGAAAAATTTTCTACTTTCCTTAAACTGTCTCCAGCATTACCAGTGACTCAGTGAATAAACACTCTCCAAGAGTCTGCAGTCAAAATAGACCAAAAATACATGTTATAATTAGGAATAGCGAATGCACAAGCCACCTTCTGCTGGTTATTTGAAAGGATTTGGGGGTGTGACATCAAATTGATAGGTTACAACCACAGTTTCCAGAAGACAACTTGGCATTCATTCTTAAACTTGGATTTAGGGAGGATGGGTTTGGATGGATCTGGCTTTGCTTAGGAGCTTTCTGGATTTATATAACTGAAGGTGTGAATAAGGCGAAAGGGGTGGAATTAGTATCTGGGGAAGACAGCAGAGTAAGTGTGAACTGAAGGGGTCAATGCCTACCCACCCCAAAAAAGAAAAGTTGCTTGTTTGAGCCTTGATAAGCATTTTGCATGCTGTTCTTGCTTTTGCTGTTGATAATTAATGGTGAAGTACATAATTTTTATTTAACACATTGAATTTAGGTAGTATAACTAAGGCCATATTATTTAGTTAATGTATTCTAACCCATGCCACAAAAGATTTTATGGCTCTGTAAAGATTTCTTACAAAGAATATGACATAGTAAAAAAATTAATCTCATGAATAAAAATGCATGTAAACCTTAAATGACTGCTATAAAACTCGCTAATACGAAAAGTGTCAAAGTTTTAATACAGGAATTTAAAACACAAAGTTTTAATGCAGAAATTTAAAACATTAAAATTTAAGGTCAAACAAAAAAGATTCTCAAAATATGCATTTCCTAATATATTTACGTTTCCAATGCCTTTAAAGGCATGTATAACCACTTCTTCTAATATTTCAGACAGGAGAATGAATAATTTCCATTTTATTAATCAGGAAAAAGTTGGAGGATTCCTCAAAACTCAGAGAATAATTCCCAGAATAGTAAGAGTCCATGTTTGTTTGATCCATCCATCTATCCATCCCCTCATTCTTCAGCTCATTTATGTACAAATACTTACTGAGGAGTCTGTATGGTGGATACATCCTTCTTATAAGGATGGCGAAGTTGAACTGGATACAAAGATCCCATATTCATTTACTAGGTTTGCAAGATGGCATGTGGAAGTGTAACTATGTGCACAACTGTAGAGAATGGGCTGAAAGGAATGTTTTAGTAGTTTATAAAACTGGAAATTGTAGAAGCTAAAGACAACTTAGAATGTAATGATTTCAACTTCTCGCACAACACACAAGTACCATAAAAAATGTCCGATACTCGGGGTTTTCAGGATATTCTTTATTTTATTGATTTGTGTTGTTATTTTTAATTGTGTGTATGTGTGTGTATGTGCATGTGAAAGCAGGTGCATGCACAAGAAACCAGAAGTGTCAATTCTCCAGCTGGAGTTATAGGTAATTGTGAGCTCCACAATGCCTGTGCTGGCAACCAAAGCTGTGTTCTCAGGAAGAGCACTCAGCACTCTGACCCTGTGAGACACCTCACCATCCCTTTCCTGGTATTCTTAAACTATATTTATGAAGACAAAATACTTATTATACAAATACAGAAATTATATTAAAATGTAGAAATTAAATATATTTCTAGATAATGAAATGTATAGTGTATTGCACATTTATATACTACTGAACTGCCTGAAACCTGTGAAAACACCCCGGTTTGCATTTAAATAGTTCTTAGAGGAAATTTCTTCCAATATTCATCAAGAAAGGCTTCACTTGGAAAGCTTTGCTATTCTTTTTCATTGCACTTGGCTTTTTGAGGCGTATTAATTTTTCTGGTTAATTTTTGTCAACCAGACACAAACTTATACACATGTAGGCAGAAGGAATTCTGTTGAGGTGTTTCCTCCACCAGATTATCCTGTGTGCATGTATGTAGGGCCTTTTCTTGGTTAATGGTTGATGACTGATGTGGGACAGCCCAGACCACTGTGACTGGTGCCACCCCCAGGGCAGATGGTCCTCAGTAGTATAAGAAAGCAAGCCAAGTCTAGAAGCAGGGCTTCTCAAGGCTTCTGCTTCAATTCCTGCCTTCAGGTTCTTGCCTTGAGACCCTAACCTGCCTTCCCTCAATCATGGGACCATGATGTTGACATGTAAGCCAAATAAACCCTTTCCTCTCCACGTTGCTTTTGGATACGGAGTTTATCACAGCAACAGAGAGAAAACTAGGACACAGCTGTGCTATAGCTCAGGCCAATCTCAAATTTGCATTTCTCCTACCTCTACTTCCTATGAGTTGAGATTACAAGTATGTGATACCGTACTATTTAGCACAGTATTTCAATTTTTTTCCATGATGGCCTTTCTGTTATTGAATCTATATACCCACAAATCACCTGTTTTCCAGGACAGGGCTGGGAATCCTGGATGCTAGTTTGCCTCCTTTGAAGAAATTCAATTTCTATTGTGCTTGGAGGTGACATCTTGATCGGTTTGTCTAGTCAGAATGTAATAAGGCATTTTGTTCATGGTATCTGTTGCCTTTCTGCTAATGAATTATACAAAAGCATTGCTTTAATAGACACTCTGTCATGTTGACAGCTTGTCTTACACCTGATTTCAGCTAAAGCCCAGAGCTTGCTACCCCAGTCCTCACCCAGGGCCAGTGGAAGACAAGGAGGGACAAGAGGGGACAGCAGAACAGTGGTAAAGAAAATGACTTTTACATACGCTGGTTCTCGGGGTAGAAGCTGGGCTTGTAGATGGAGACATGACCAAGGCTGGCCCTCATTACAGGTTTGGGGACGCAGCAATGAAATAAAATGAGGAGTTGAAGGTGAATGTAGGCCCCCAAGGCAAGGACAAAGTTGGAAATAGTAAGTTATCAAGGAGAGTAAGTCAAGGTAAGAATCACCTCCCAAAGAAAGTATTATGGTTTCAACAATGAGCAGGCAACAGCATCAACTGTGGCCAGACAAAGGCAAAATGGTAAGCCTCCAAAAATTCAGAAGCAAGCCCATGAAAGAAGAGGAAATTAGTAAAGAATCTTGTTTGTTTCAGCATTTTCAGACACTTAGCCAACATTTAGTGTGTCATGATCTGGCAAAGAATTATAGAGAAGGCAGGTAAAAGAGCAAACAAGGCCCAGCATCTCTGTCTCAGAGATCTCTTAGATGCCTTTGGGAATTGAAAGTAAGTCTTCTACTTCCTATATGTGATGTGTTTGGTACAACAAACAGGAACCCACCGGGCCACAGAAGAGAAGCAAAGAGCACAGTAAGGCTCTGAAGAGGCAATCGTCTGAATCATGGAGGAAGAAGATGAAAGGAGGCAACAGGAAAAAAGAAAGATCTTCTAAATGGAAAAAGTCAACTCAAAGGCAGTCAGCACAGCATACAAAAGAGCTGTTTACAGCTTGGTATTGCTGGACAGTCAAATAATAATGAGTGTGATAAATGAGATTTTTCCCTCTTTTTCATTGTTTGGTAAGTTAAGTCCTGAAGCTAAAGAAAGGTCTTTTTTTTTTTTTTGGTTTTTCAAGACAGGGTTTCTCTGTAGCTTTGGAGCCTGTCCTGGAACTCCCTTTGTAGACCAGGCTGGCCTCGAACTCACAGAGATCCGCCTGCCTCTGCCTCTCGAGTGCTGGGATTACAGGCGTGCGCCACCACCACCTGGCCAATATGTATTGACTTCAGGACATGTTTATTTTCCCATTTCATTGTAGTCTTAGCTTAGAATATATATTATTGGAAGACTATCTTTATGATTTCTCTGAGCTACAGATACTTTGATATTTGACATTCCTTCTTTAGCTTTCTTCTAGTCCTTGGTTTAAAAACAAAAGGACTCCAAGCTGAAAGCCCTTCCGTATCCTCTAGCCATCTCTGACAAGTTGACACTGATTGAACAACCTGCAGCCAGCCCATATGGTTGTTTAATTAACTAACA